GTATGTATCTTAATATCTGTTAGGATAAGTGTCCCTTCTTTGCTCTACTTTTTCAAAGACTGAAGTATTCATGGAACTTTGTTTTTCTATTTTGCTTTTAGAGTAAGTATATCAAATTTCTTAAAAATTCTAACTGGGAAAGTGAGTTTATAGATTAATTTTGGAAAAAATTACTTCTGAAATATTCTATTTAAAAGTAAAGAATCTTTCTCCATTTATGCTGATTATTTTCAGTGTCCTTAATTAGAGTTTAAAGTACAGTACTGCAGAAATCTTGCATACTGTTGTATATGTTAATTCCTTTGTACTTTTTAATTTTTAGCTATCAGAAATGTCTTATTTTGAATATAGTTGTGTTGTATTCAGATTGGTTGGAGGTAGAGAAATGTTACTGATTTTAAAAGTGAGTTGTTGAAGTATTATATATACACATAAAAGTGCACACATTATTTGTCGAGCTCAAGAAATTACCACACAATGAAGGCACCTGTGCAGTCTCCACTCAGGTCAGAAAGTAGAGCAGTACTGGCATCCAGAAACTCCCTTCCGCCCTCCCAGTTACTTCCTTTGTCCTCCTCCTACGAAGTACCATTATTCCTGGCTTCTGTCAGTGTAATTTTTGGAGTCTGTTCCTTAGTGTTATGTGATGTTTGCTGAAGGTTTATGATATATAACTTTTATAAATAAGGATTTTCTTTCTGTTGCTCGTTTGCTAAGTTTTTGTTTTTGTTGTTGTTTTAGTCATAAATATGTGTTGAATTTTTCAAATGCCTTTTTTTGTGTGTGTGTCTATTGAGAAAAGCAGGCGATCTTTCTCTCCTTAGGGAAAAAAAAACCCTATTTATATGGTGAATATACTAAGAGTGCTTCCATTGTGGGACCTCCCTTGCACCCCTGGGACAATCTCTACATGATCATGGTGCATTATTTTTAAAAAATATACTGTTGGCTAATATTTTATTTACAATTTCTGCATCTATGTTCACGTTCATACAATTGTCCAACTTGATTGTTGGAGCTACTTGCAAACTAATAGTGTGTAAGCTGTGAGAGGAGGGGGAACCTCTCTCTGTGGGCTCCATGCTAGGGGTTTTTCTGTTTGTTTTGTTTTGTTTTCTGAATGGCCTATGAAAAGACTTCTGACACATAAGTTTGGAGCTTTTCTTAACTCTGAGTAGTGTGGGGACAGAGCCCTTTTGTATCTCAAGAGATGCAGCAAGCATTATAGCCTTGCAGCACCATGGCCTAGGGACTTACCAGACACAAGGAAATACATTTCCTGTCGTGGGGCTCCTTCTGTGCTTCTCCCTTGTCGTGAGGTTCTGTGCTGCTTGCTTCCTCTGTGTCTCAGTATCTCTCTCCTCCTCCTGTCATGTCTCTTTATCTTTGTCTTGATGCTTTTTATTTCTGTCATCGTCATTTTCTGTCCCGCTCAGTGCCTTTGGGCAGGCCACTGGTCTTTTCTCACCCTCAGTCTCCCCTTCTTTGAAGTGGGAACAAGCCCCCGGGTTACAGCCTTGTGCAAATTGCCCTGGAGGTATCTTGGTCTCTGTCATTCTTACCCTTCTCTGTGTGGCCACTGTATCTTCCTGGCATGCTTGTTCCTGAAGCTTGTGGCAAACCCTGGTGGTCGGAGAATTTGGACGTGACCCGCCATTGGCCCTGGGAAGTAAGCCTCCGAGTAGAAGATGAGCACGTGTGTGGAGGGGCCCTCATCGACCTCAGCTGGGTGGTGACTGCCGCCCACTGCATCCAAAGGTGAGTGTGGCCTGTGGAGACCCAGGGCTGCAGTGGGCTCAGCCTAGCCTCTAGGTTTCCTCTGTGAAACAAGGTGGGAGTAGGGGCAGTGGAGAGGGTGGGAAGGGATGTCCAGGACAGGGAAGAATCATGCTTATGACTGAGCTGGGGCAGGACCCCCAAGCAACAAAGACTATCCTAACCAGGGCAACAGGAGAACCCAGCATACACTCCACCCCTCACACACATGAGAACACACATGCATACTAACAGCTGCATGCCCAAATACACAACACATAGACCAAGCTGCTTGAATCAGTTTAGCTGATGAATGAGGAGGCAGCTATATCTCTGACCCCAGGGGCCCCCAGACTGGATGAGCAAGATGACATGAGCAGGGCAAATCAGGCAGGACTTCTGCTAAGGGGAGGGTCCTTGTCTGAGGTAGGAGCCTAGGGTTTGCTTGGGAACCTTATGTCTACCAGGTGGGGCTCTGTGTCTCCTGTAGCACCAAAGAGTACTCAGTGATTCTCGGCACCTCCAAGCTGAAGCCCAAGGACGCCATGAAGGCCCTCTCAATCCCCGTGAAGGACATCATTTTGCACCCCAAGTACTGGGGCCGGACCTTCATCATGGGCGATGTTGCCCTTCTCCAGCTTCACACTCCTGCCATCTTCAGCAAGTACGTGCAGCCCATCTGCCTCCCGGAACCCAGCTACAACTTGAAGGTTGGAACACAGTGCTGGGTGACTGGCTGGGGCCAGGTTAAACGGCGCTTCTCAGGTGAGCAGGGCGGGGTAGGGGTGAGATTTGGTACCTTAGAGGGTGCACTCCTTTCCTTCTGGAACCTTGCTGCTGAATCCCCGAATGGTGCCTCTCAGGAAGCTGTGGCTGTTACTGCTGGCCCTTGGTTCTTTGGATGTATTGGGTTTGCTCCTCATATGCGAAGCATTGTTATGGTTTACACCATTGCGTTTGCTGTGGGCACTTCATTCAGGCCCAGCAAAGCCTGGGCTGGGCATGATCATTTGCCTCTTACAAAAACTCAGAGTCAGGGATTCATAAATTCCTCACTCACTTATTTGTTCACCTGACAAACTTTTGATGTTCAAGCATCTGCCACACGCCAAACCCTTGGCACTGTGAATGCATGCCCTGCCTGCAGGGAACTCGTAACTGAGTGTGGGTGGGGACGTAGGCTGACAAGGAAGGAGGCAAAAACTGTCAGGCGAACTTGAGAGCACGTCTGAAGGATCCGGGATGAGCTCTGGGCAAAGAGTCTGCCTGAGATGCCTGAAGGAGGAGTGGGTGTCAGATGGGGTGGCAGAGGTCACAGCTGGTGCAAAGCTCAGAGGCTGGAGAGAAGCAGCATGTGGTTGGGGGTCTCGATTTCTAAGTGGTTGCTTTGAAACTTGAGTTGTAGCCTGCTTGGTTCAGAAGCAAAAGTTTCCCAGAGAAAGGGATCCTGAAACGGAGCCTCTGAGGGTGAGGTGCTTGCCAGATGTGGTCCACACTGCAGGGGTAAGGGCCAAGTGAAGGAGGGCATGGAGACGTGAAAGGGTGTAGCTGAGTCTCAAGGATGGAGGGGACAAGACCGTGGGAAGAGGCAGGGCTAAGTGGAGTGAGGAGTCAGTTCTCACCCCACTGGGCTCCTCCACAGCCAACTCCACGCTGATGCCAGAGCTGCGAGAGGCTGAGGTGTTTATCATGGACAACAAGAGATGTGATCGGATTTACCGCAAGAATTCCCTCGTCCCCCGAATTGTCCCCCTTGTGCTAGGGGACATGATCTGTGCCACCAATTATGGAGAAAACATGTGCTATGTGAGTTTCTGGGAGGTTCTGGCAGCTCTGCTTTGGTTGGGATGACTCCCAGTGGGGGGCCAGTTCCCTGGGGAGGGGTTTGCTGGGCCTCCTCTTTGTCATCATTACCAGGCAGTGCTCCCATTTCCCTTCCCAGTGACTTTGATTTTGCTTCATATTCTGGGATGGGGTCCTCAACTGAGGAGTGAAGGAAGACTCCAGGTAGTGAGATCCTTAAGAAATGAAAAAAGCTTCCAAGCAGAACTCAGAGGGTGGGCATTCTGGGTCCCCCAATTCCCTCGGTCCTAGCTAGGCCACAGCCTCCATCAGTCCTCTCTCTCTGCATAGGGGGATTCTGGGGGTCCACTGGCTTGCGAAGTCGAGGGCAGATGGATTCTGGCTGGGGTGTTGTCCTGGGAAAAGGCCTGCGCCAAAGTACGTAATCCAGATGTGTACACCCGTGTCACCAAATACAGCAAGTGGATCAAGAAGCAAATAAGCAACGGGGTTCTCTCTGGACCCCGCACCTCTCCCTGGCTCCTACTCCTGTCTTGGCTGCTGCAGCCCCTAATGGACCCCTGATCTCCCCACTCCCTTCTTCTCCATGCTTTGCCTCTGCTGGATCAACCTTGATCTCTGGCCAGATCAAGGTTAGACCAAGGTCATGATTCTGTTTTCAACAAGAGTCAAAGTTGGGAAAGAGTGGCCCCTGGGAGACTGGGTCTTGCTTTAGCCTCCTAGTGAGGAGGGATATGGTGGATGACTAGGCCTTGGGTGACCAGGAGAAGGGAAGTGTGGCCTAGAAGCGCTCTGGAATTGGGGCCAGAACAGTAGGGATTAAATGTGTGCAAATATATGCTGGCTCTATTCTCTTTTCTGGGTGGCCCTGGGGGCTGGGGTTCAGTGAGAGGGCCAGGCATCCTGAAATTAATTCTGCCAGGAGACTCATCAGGGTAGGGGCTGATAGCTTTTGCTGTAGTACTTGGGCTGGGGCATAGGGAAAGGGCCTGGGCCTGAGGCCTCGGTTCCCTCAACTGTAAAGTGGGTGTGCTGTGGGGAGCAGTTGAGACACACCCCGTAGGTGACAGTAGGAAGGACCCACACATAGTGCTCCAAAATCAGCTTCCTTTTTTCTTTAAATGGCATTTAAAACTGATTACAAAAGTATTGCATGTTGACTTTCTAAATTTTTAAAAATTAAAAACAATTACAAATATCTGAATACATTTTTGTCATGATTTACTTAAAAAAATTCAGATACATGTTAAAACTCCCTCTTGCTCATTCACCCCCACCATTCATACTGACCCCTTCCCAGAAGTAATCATTGTTAGCATCCTTAAATAATTCATCTTTGATGTTTTTAAGTAAATGGGATCTTATATATGTATTATTAATAATCTACATTTAAAAACGTATGTGCCTTGAAAACCTTTCTATGGTAGTACCTAGAGCTCTTCATAATTTTGCATTACTGCATGTGTTCTGTATGCATGTAATGTATGTTATTTAAGTAGCACCAGTTTTGAGGCTGTTTCTGACTTGTCAGCATTGCCGCAGTGCTTCCGTGAACGTATCCTTGCATGCTGGGCGGGAGGACACATTCCGAAGCATTTCTGCAGCTGTCTTTCTAGGAGTGGGCTCAGGGAGGATCATCAAAGAAAACACACATTTAATAATTTTGGATGAATACTATCCAATTTACCCCTCCCCAAAGCTGAGCAAGTTTACATTCACACCTATAGCATATGAGAAGGAATTTCTCCTTTTTAAGCTTGAAATGGATATTACTAATCTTCAAAAATTTTGCCCATTCAGTGGTGGAAAGCTATAACATTGCTGTTTTAATTTGCATTTTCTTGATTGGAAAAATGTGTTTTTGTGTGTTTACTGAAAAAAAGGTGTACTTTTTCTCTAGTAAATCCTCTGTTCATAAACTTTGCCTACTTTAAAAATTAGGTTGCTTATCTTTTTCTCATGAAGGTCTTTATCTTTTTTGAATATTAAGTTTTTGTCAGTTGTTTTACAAATATGTTCTCCAGTTGTTGTCACTTTTCTTTTAGAAATATGTGGAATTGATGGGAATTTTCCCCTAAGGACTTTTTAAAATTATTATTGAGTGAAATCAGTCAGTCTTTACTTTTTTTAATGAATTTTGTGACTTGCTTGACATGGCCTTCTCCATGTCCAGATCATAAAGCTATCTTCACATTTTTCTTTTAATATTTTGATTAATTTATTTTTTATGTGTAACTATAACCCATTTGAAATTTCTATTTATGTATAGTGTGAGGTGGGGATCTAACTCTACTTCTAGCTGGAGAACCAACTTGGTTGACAGTATTTCTTGTAAAGTCCATCCTTTTCATGCTGATTTGAATGTCCACATTTGTAATAACAAAATCCCGGTATATTCATGGATATGTTTTTGAAACCTCAGTTATTTCCCCATTGACCTTTGTGTCTGTCCCTGTTTCAGTCAGCTTTGTGTTATGTTTTGTTAAATGATAGCAAAATCTCTCCTCTTCTTGAAAAAAAAAAAGCCCAATCTGCAAAGTTTGTCTTCCATGTAGACTTTAGAATCAGTTTGTCAGTTTTCATTAAAAATATGATTGGTATTTTAATTGAAATTAAATACACAGTCTAGTTTGTGGAGAGCTGTCATTTTTACCATGTTGAGTTCCTAACCAGGAATATGGTATATGTCTCCATTCATTCAGCTTTTCTATTCATGGATGTCTGGAAAACTATTGAGTTTATTTCTAAGTGTTTTACAAATTTTGGTTATCTTTGTTTTGGATAATGTTTTTTCCCATTACACTTTTTCTAATTGTACCTGTAGGTATTTTAAAGCTGTTGATAGATTTTTTAATAATAGTGATCTTGCTTCCTGATTATCTTGCAAAACTGTCTTATTAAGTTAATAGTTTTTCAGTTGATTCTCTTGGCTTGTTTTTTGGTAATCAAATCATCTCAAATGGTGACAGCTACCTCTTGTCCTTTTTGAAAGTAACACCGTTTATTTGTTTTGTTATCTCATTGCCGGAGACCCCAGCATAATAGGAGATAGTAGTGATAATGTGGGAGCACGTGTGCCGACTCTGCCTTCATTCTTTCATCCATTCCACAGATATTTATTGGGAATCTCCTCTGTGCCAGGCACTGTTCCTGGGCCCTGGTGACACAGTAGTGAACTGTTAAGATGATTATATGGTTATTCTTATTTAATTTGTTGACTAGATCTCCATAGATTTCTTAGGTAAATCCTGTAATACACTGTAAACTCAGTTGCTAGCATTTTTTTAGAATTTTTGTCCCAGTGTTGAATTGGCCTACAGTTTTCCTTTTTGTTCAAGTTCTATGTCACTGCTATCCTAGCCTCTTCTAACAGGAGGGGCTTCTCCTTCTTCTCTATTAAAAATTGTATCACAATATGGATTTAATTACTTCTGCATTTTAGAATTACTGAGTTTTTCTTTGTGCCTAGTACTTGGTCAGTTTTAGTGAATATTTTATGTGCATTTGAAATGAAAGTGTGTATTCTGAAATAAGAGTTCTAGCTATAATTGATTGGATCAAGCTGTGTTGATTGTGTTATTCAAATCCTCTCAATACTTCAAATATTCTGTGCCTATATATGCCATTAATTCCTGAGAGGTTTACCATGAGAATTAAGACTTTGTCTATTTATTTCTGCAGTTCTAACAATTCTTGCTTAATGTTTGAAAGCTTTGTTGTTAGGAGTACAAGGTTCTTGCCTACTGTGCCATCTTGGTGGGTTATACCCTATCGGTGTAAAATACGGCTGTTGTCCCATTTAATATCATTTGTTTTTTCAAAGATCCAGATCATAGAGTTCATTCCTAGCTCTGCTGTCCTAATTGTTCAGGATATAATTTTATATTTTTGTACATGTTTCCTACAGATTTTCCTCGGGTTTATTTTGTACCTTTATAGTTTCTTACTTTGAGCATTTAATTCATTTATTTTCATTCTTTGTTATTCAGTAATAAATACGTTTAAGGTTCATGGATTTGCCTTGAACACACCCAATAAGTTTTTAAAAATGCATTGCTTTCATTATTACTATTTCCTGAATAGTTTATAGAATGTTTTTATTTTCTTGAAATAAGTTAACCAAGTTTATTTTTAAAATGTTCAAATCATTTGGTTTATTTTGCTTGCTCATTGTTATTAAAGCCCTGTTTCATTGCATCATGGTAAAAAATGTGGCCCAGATTAGTTCAACTTTTAGGGAAGTTATTGTGATTTTCTTAGTAGTCTAGTATGCAGTTGATTTTTTTTTCATTTTTCAGTTTTATTAGGTAGAATTGTTAAAACTTGACTGCACATATACAATATACTGCATGTAAATACATATACACAATATACTGCACATATTTTAAAAATTTATATATATGTATGTTCATTGTTTCGAAGAATATTTAGAGCTTTAGCTTTTTTTTGTGATTTCTTTTTAAATTGAGTTATAGTCATTTTACAATGTTGTGTCAAATTCCAGTGTAAAGCACAATTTTCAGTTATACATGAACATACATACATTCATTGTCACATTCTCTTTCGCTGTGATCCACCACAAGATCCTGTATATATTTCCCTGTGCTACACAGTACAATCTTGTTTATCTGTTCTACATTTTGAAATCCCAGTCTGTCCCTTCCCACCCCCCGTCCCCCAGATGATTTTTATAGATGTTTCATTCCTCAAAAATAGAGTTGGAGAAGACTTTCCCACCGCCAGTAAGGGTTTTCAATTTCTCGTGTTACCACGTGTTTGATGCTATGTTATTGATGAACAGAACTTTATTATGTTACACGGTTGTTGTAATTTTTATCTTTTTTTCAACAAAAGGTAACTTTCTTTTTCTGTTTAAAGCTTTTGTCCTGAATTACATCTTTAGAGATTAAAATTGTCAGTTCTATTTTTGCTTGAATATGCTTAATATATTTTTGCCCATCTTTTCTTTCAGCTGCTTTGTGTCACTTTGTTTTAGGTAGGTCTCTAGTAGCATCTGAGTGGGTTTTTTTTTCTATTCAATATAAGAATCTTTGACTTGTAAAAGTAGAGTTTTTTTTGTGTTCACATTGGTGGTGATAATGGATATGCTTGGTCTTTATTCAGTTATCTTGTTTTGTTCATTGGTTGATTGTCCCCTGCTGCTGCCCAAAGCAGTACTTTTCACAAAGGCAGAAGAGTAGAGAGGGTTTTGCTTCTCTGGATTTTCCTTCTTCTCTCTTTCCCTCCCACTTTCTCCTTCTTTCTCCAAAGGAAATCAGATTGAAGGGCTAAACATTTTCTTGATTTTCTACCATGTATCCCTAAAAATAATGTTTTGCCTGTGTTGAATTTTATGCAGTATGTACCTCTTGGTGTCTGACTTCTTTCACTCAACAATATGTTTATGAGATTCACCATGTGGCTGCGTCCATCCTCATTGCTCTTGATTATTCTGTGTCTCCATCCCACCTTTGATGGCAGTTGGGTGGTTTCCAGTTTGGGCTGTACCCAACAGTGCTGCTGTCAGCAGGCTCACATGTTCTTTCCTGCTGCATACGTGATGAGGTTTCTAGGGCGCACAGCCAGGAGTAGAACTGCAGGTTTGGGGGTAGGCACGTTGTCTGCTTTACTAAATGATACCAAACTTTTCCACCGTGCTGGCCCCAGTCCATCTCCCCTAGCAGTGTGTAAATGATCTCATTTCCCCATGTCCTTGACAACACTAGCAACGGGGTTGGGTAGGAGTGAACTGTCCTTATGGACAGTGTGAGGAACATGGGATCCTTGGGGTGGGGACCTCAATGGAGTGGTGGGGAGGGGTCCCAAGATGTCATTTACTGTGCTGATTGATGAAGACCCAGGCTTGCAAGCTTCTTCGTCCCAGGAAGCCACCTTCTCAGGCCAAAAATATCTGGCCTTGCCCTACCCATGAACTGTTCTCTTGAAAATGCAGAACCTGTGGGAAAAAGGAAAAACCCCAGTTCCAGCTCAATCACTCACAGCAGGAATTAGCCATTCCCCGTCTCAGAGCCTCAGTTTCCACACTTCCATGGGGTCTGTGAAAAGGGCACTGGGGGTGCCTTCCAAGCCAGTCACCAGGCACTGTCATAAACCAGATGCCTGGTGCTATCACAGGCTTAGGGTTAAGCATACAGGGGCATCATCAAGGCCAAGGCTGAGTCTAGGAGATGCTGTCACAGGCCAGCCACCAACTGCTGTCACAGGCTCAGGACTAGGCACCAGAAGCACCATTCCAGAGACGTGCCTGGCAACAGCATCACCTCATGGTCCTGGTAGGGCCTTGCCATGACCACACTGTCTCCTTGGCATCCTGCTGCTGCCCCAGCTGCTACCCTGCATAAACAAACCATGAGTTCTAGAATTCTCGCACAGTGGAGATGCCCTGCCCCACCCTGCCCCCAAGTCCCATTACGAGGACCAGTGAGAGCCGTGTACCTTCTTGCTATGGCATGTGGGTCAGGAGATCTTCAGGGCCTTACATCTCCATTTTCTTCTGCCAGAGCTGACAATAGGCTCTATGTTGAAGGTAGGCCTCTGGGAACATGGGAGAGAGGCAGGAGGGATCCATTTGCCTGGGTGCCTGTGTCAGCTGTCTTCATGCCTGAAGGGCCTCCATTTGTTTGTTTCCTGATGGGTGCTTCCTCATGAGACTGAATGGTGTGCCAAGCCTGGGGACCCAGACGGTGGCAAGGTGGTTCCTGTTTGCGGGGTGACCATGAACATGAGGGAAGAGCCTTATTTTAAAAATGGGAACAAACTAACATCTGTGGAATGGATAAGCTTGTTTGGGAGGCACAGTCTAGGAGAACCAGGACTTGTGATGAGGACAATGAGATACATGGATGACTGCTCACCCCATAAGGCTCATCCACACACCTTTATGTCTCAGCACCCTGTGAAGTGAGCTTTACCAGTATCCCCATTTCACAATAGGAACCCAAGTCCCAGAGAACAAAGTGCTTGTGGAGCCAGGATTCAATACCAGTTTTCAATAGACTCCTTGGCGGTAAAAAGTTTGGGACCCCATGTGACAGAACGTCTTAGGGCGCCCACTGTAATCAATCATATATAATTTTGTGGTGATAGCTTTGATTCGGGTCATCTGCCAGCTGCCTGTTCTCCCACTTGGCAGAAAACATGCTGACATGGCATCTGTTAGTAGGGGTGTGTCCCCAAACTTAGGGACTTTATCCTTTTCCCCCACTGTGTGACCCTTCTTCCCAGACCAGTGCCTGGTTGAATGAGTGAGTGGATGAATGAGTGCTGTCCTGCTCTGCGCTGCTCTCAGGCATCTGTGACGTTTGGCGGGTGCTGAGGATGTGTGCTGCTCCTCATGGCCGACTGCTGTGCCTGTGATGATGTGGGAGTGGAGGGCTGTGACCTTGGATGGAGGTTACGAGCCAGGACAGGTGTTCCCATCACCACGTGTGAGTGCAGGCGGTGATGTCAGAGTACAGCTTGTGAGTGAGAGTGCTTAGACTCTGGGACTCCAAGAAGTGGTAGAGGTGGTCTGCAGTGGAATCTGTTTGAGCCACTGAATGTCCCCAGTAGAATGGAATGGTATCACTGTGCCTATGACAGGGTTGATCTGAAACACATCATGCCCCGAAATAATCTATCATGACGCCCCCCAAATTCAGCTGCTGTACCTGGTGCTGGCATCTCCAGGCTGAATCCTGCAAATCTTGTGTAGGGTTTGGGGAAGGAAATCAGAGTCATCGTTGTCCTGGGTGGCAGTTGTGAAGAATGCTATTTGCTGAGACTGGGGAACCCACTGAGGGTGTGGAGCACAGAGGCAAAGCCCAAACCTGCCTCCTAGAGCTGTAACTTTTTAAGTGGGGAAGTTCATCCTGCGGGACCTTAGCTCCCCAGGGCCTCAGCTTTGTAAGAAATGAAAGGGCAAGGCTCTGGAAGCCCTCACTGCTCCCAAGGTCTCGACTGGAGAAGGCTGTGATCTGAAACAAGGTACACACAGCATATGAGAAGGGCTGGAAATGTGGCTCCCCATTAGGGGAGATGGAAAGTAAGACAGCAAGCCAATGGGCAGAGATATGGGCAAGAATGGAGCAACGAGAGGCCGAGGCAGACAAAACTCCATGGAAGTGTTGGGGCTTGTGCTGGTGCCTGTGGATCCCTGTGGGGAGCCACTGGTTGAGGGTAAAGATGACCAGCCGTGGACGTGTGTGGCAAGGGAACCCACGATCCACATCTAATGGTAGTACCGGGGCCCTGGGGCATGGCGGAACAAGCCCAGACATCAATGGTTTGTGACCCTCTTGAGGGATTTCCATGAGTCAGGCCCAGTAGATGTTTCTGCTCATGTGTATTGGTTGCAATAGATTATTAGCCTTGTCTGTTTATTGTTGGGCCCCTCCACCACCACCACAGACCTCCACCCCCACCCCAGACGAGGACGAGCCTTGGTTGCTGCTGCTGAGTCCCTGAAGCTCTGGTTGGCACTGTATGCTGAACTGCCTAGGGAAACACTTTCTGGAACCGTGTCTGCTTGAGACAGTGTAAACACATACCCAATTCTGCCTGCATGAGGAGGTCCATGATGACATATAACAACTTCTTGGCCAGCCCAAACTTGACAGCAAGCTCTGCATAAGAAACCTTTTATTTTGTCTTTAATCTTGATCGCCAACCTTTGTGGTAGAATTTCTCTCTTTCCTGTCTTCAGTGATATTCGGTTATCAAATACCAGTCCAAGATGGTCCAGTTCAAAATAGCAACCATCATGTCCAGTTCAGTGTAGTGTCCCCTCCTCCCACTCCTGCTGTCAGTGCTAGTGAGAGGCAGGGAGGGAGCTGACAAGCATCTCTGCTCACTTTCTGGTCTGGTCACAGAGGATGCGCCTCCAGGGGTGGTAGTCTGTGAAGGCCGGCCCTGGAGTTGTACAATGTGACGTTGTTGTCCATTGTTTTCTGGCTACAAATGACTAGCAGTCCTGCTCATTGTGCCCCATCACTTAGCCCTTGACTGACAACTCAGCCCTCTGATGATTCTCTCTCCTCCTTCCCTCCCCTAAGTATCTGCTTGTGTAAACAAGGGGAAGGGATGAATCCTGGGTTGGTGACTTGTAACAAGCCTTAGAGGGGTTGTCTGATCCCCATTGTTTGGAGTCTCTCTTCATAGCAGTCTCCTCCTGCCTTTGGTTGCTGTTTTGGGGGTAATGGGAAAAGCCCCTCCCCACATGTGCATATGGAAATCTGAGAGCTGCCCTTTGCTGCTTGAGAGTCTGCAAGGGGCTGGCATGGCCCACCCCCTACCCTTTTCCTAAGGATCCTGGTTCTGGACCTGTGGTCAGACTAACATCTCCTGCAAGAATGTGAAGGGGAAGCTGGTGGAGGTAGGCAAGTGGCCATGGCAGGTGAGCATCCTGTTCATGGGCATGAACATCTGCGGCGGCTCCATCATCCACCACCAGTGGGTCCTTACAGCTGCACACTGCTTATACAGGTCAGTCAGGGTGGCCAGCCAGCCTCCAGGGCTTTGCTTTCTGGCCTGGGAAGCCTTGCTGAATGTGGGGATCTGGAAGTAGGGTCCTGGATGGGTAGCCCTGTGCTTAGCCTGTGTCTTTCCAACCATACCACGTTTGACCTCACTGCTGGTGGTCTGCTCCTACCCATGGCCCTGCAGATCCAAAGACCCCAAAGCATACTCTGTGAAGGTAGGAGTTCAACGCATCTCCGAAGATGGCACTGAGCTCTCTGTCACTCACATTGCAATTCATGAGGATTTCAACAACCTCATATCCCAGGACATTGCCCTTCTGAAGCTCGGAGACTCCATCTCCTGGTCCCCCCTCATCCAGCCTGTCTGTCTACCCACCGCCAAACTCGAGCCATCTCTCGGATCCATGTGCTGGGTGATCGGGTGGGCCCGAACAGATGCAAAAGGTAAGTGAAGGCAGGCAGAGGTCCCAAGACCCTTGCCTCTTCAGAACACAACTCCACCACGGGCTCCTCTGTCCATTATTTTATTCACTTATTCACTCTATCAGCAAACATTTCCTGAGCACCTACATGTGCTGCATGTCATCCTGATCTCTGTTGATAGAAAGATATACACAGTGTCCTAGTGTAAAACACACACATGGCTTGTATGGACCTCAGTTCCCAAAGCTAAGTTAAATCCAGTGTCAAGCTCTCACCTTGCAGCATGGTAGGAAATTAATCCTTGGCTATTAGTGGGATTCCTTGTCTGCAGGTGGAACAAAAGCGATGGTCTCAGGAGGTACCTAGGCATTGGGCAGCCATTGTACACACTTGTTACCTTGAGCACCACTAATTCCTGTCCCCTGTTGTTGCCACCCTGAGGTCCTAGAATCGAGGAGCCTTTGTGGGGTCCTGCCCTCCAGGGGCTGCTCACTCCGGGCTCTAGGGTTTTGCCCAAGTAGCCATGGAGCAGTGCTCAGCCACTCACCCTCATGGACCCTGAATTATTGGGGCAGTCTCTCCTTGGCTTCATTCAGTGCCTGCATGTTGGTCTGAGCCCCTCAGGGGACTTTTGCTTAGAATTTTTACTGAGCTTGGGCTTTTTCAAAAGTCAGGCTGTGGGTTGGGGCCTTTATAAATCACCATCCCAGGAAATGGCTCTGCCTCCCACATTGCGAATCTGGAACTCCAAGATGGAACTATGCCAAAGAGTGGAAGGGATGATGTGGCAGGATCTCTCTCTCTCCAGTGACCCCACAGCCCTCCTACAGTCTTCAGGAGGTGGCTGTCAAGATCATAAACAAGAAGATCTGCCATCAACAGTACAAGTTCCTCTTCTTAAAGGACCAGAAGAAGTTCATCGGGAATGACATGATGTGTGCCGCCTCACAATGGGGCATGGACATGTGTCAGGTGCGCAGTGTTTGGACCAGGGCAAGAAGGGGACTCTCAGAGGTCATGCCTTCCTTTCCACATGGCACTGGGAGACCTTATGAAAATCTCCTTTCCCTGGGCTTCCGTTTCCCCAATCTGTAAAATAAGGGTGCAAATATTTTTTGCTCCTGTCCACAATAATTAATGATAGTACCTCTCAGGGTATTTGAGCACTTCTGAATGTCAGTCACATGCCCAGATCTGGGCCAGGTGCTGGTAGAACCAGGTTTGCATAAATGGCATCATTCTGTAAGCGTGCTTCTGCTTCTTACATCTTCTAGTCAACATCATTTTAAAGATTTATCCATATCAATACATGCAGCTCTGATTCACTAAGTGCTCAATCTACAACATTCTCTTTTGTGAATATGCCACAATTTATTCATTCTCCTGTTATAAACATTGAGGTAGCTTCTAATTTTTTCATATTGCATACTCTGCTGCTCTGAATATTCTTACACACACCTCCCTATTTACATGTTCCAGAATTTCTCAACGTGGTCCATCCTGCAAGAAACTGGTGGGTCACAGGCTGTACATACTTTCATCTTTAATCGTCATTGCCAAATTGTCTTCCAAACTGATTGTATTAATCTATATTCTTACAGCAGTGTTTGAGAATTCCATTGCTCTATGTCCTTGCCAACTTTTGGTATTGCCAGACTGCACAGTGTTTTGCATTCTGCTGAGTGAGAACCAGAGAAATAGTTCCCATTGTGGTTGTGTGTACATGTCCCAGTTACTAATGCAGCTGTGCACCCTTTCCTATGTTTGTTCACAATTCATAATTCTTCTGTGAGTCACTTGTTCAGATATTTTACACATTTTTCTATTGTTTGCCTTTTCACTTTTATTATATTTTTATATTTTGGATACTGATTTTATGTTCATTGTATATATTGTAAATATTTTCTTTCAGTTTTTGATTTACCTTTTCATTTTTGTATATACTGTCCTTTGCTGACAGCAGTTTAGGTTTTATTTTACTCAAACATATGTTCATTTTTTCCTTTTTGGCTTATGCTTATTTAAGAAATCCTTCCTTTTCCTGAGGTTATAAAGATATTTCTCTATGTTTTCTTTTTTCTGAAAGTTTGGGAATTTTGGTTTCCACATTTAGGTCTTGAATCCACATACGTTTATTTTGTGAATGGTATAAATTAGGGATCTATTTTTATTTAATTCTACATATGATCCACCAGTTGTCCTAGTGCCATTCATTGATAAAACCATTTCCTGTGCTGTCTGTCACCACTTCTCTCATAAAATCAAATTTCTATATATACTGGGATTAATTTTCTTAGCTGGACACCTTCATACATTTTTTCATTTTGAAAGCAAATATTTTTTGTGTTTTTTTCAATTGAAGTATAGTTGATTTACAGTGCTGTGTTAGTTTCAGGTGTATAGCATAGTGATTCAGCATTTTTGCAGATTATATTCTATTATAGGTTATTACAAGATAAAGGGTGTAATTCCCTGTGCTATCTAGTATATCCTTGTTGCTTATCTATTTTACATATAGTAGTTAAGCCCATACCCCTAATTTGTCCCTCCATACTTCCCTCTTCCCTCTGGTAACCACAATTTTGTTTTCTATATCTGTGACTCTGTTTTGTATATACATTGATTTGTATTATTTTTTAGATTCCACTTATAAGTGGTATCATATAGTATTTGTCTTTCTCTGACTTATCTCACTAAGCATAATATTTTCTACATCCATCCACATTACTGCAAATGGCAGTATTTCACTCTTTGTTTTATGGCTGAGTAATATTCCATTGTCTATATACCATATCTTCTTAGCCAGTCATCTGTTGATGGGTATTTGGGTTGCTTCCATGTATTGGCTATTGTAAATAGTGTTGTTACAAATATTGGGATGCATGTATCTTTTTTATTTTTTCATTTTCACTTTTTCTGGATATATACTCAGGAGTGGAATTGCTAGATCATTTAGTAGCTCTATTTTTAGTTTCTTAAGGAAATTTCATACAGTTTTGCATAATGGTTGCACCAGTTTACATTCCCAGCAACAGTGTACGAGGTCTCCCTTTTCTCCAACATTAACGACAACATTTGTCGTTTGTTGATTTTTTTGATGATAGCTATTCTGACAGGTATGAGGTAATACCTCATCGTGGTTTTGATTTACATTTCTTTAATAAATAGCTGTGTTGAATGTCTCTTCATGTGATTGTTGGCCATCTGTATGTCTTCTTTGGAAAAATATCCATTCAGGTCTTCTGCCCATTTTTGAGTGGATTATTTGGTTTTTGATATAGAGTTGTATGAGCTGTTATATATTTTGGATATTAACCCCTTGCTGGTCACATCATTTGCAAATATTTTCTCTCATTCTGTAGGTTGTCTTTTTGTTTTGTCAGTGGTTTCCTTTGCTGTGCAAAGCTTTTAAGTTAAGGAAGGTTTTTATGCAGGAGCATCCCAGTGTAGACTGCATGTACCCAGTGCCTTTGGTGTGAGGGCTGGTTTTGACATTGACACCAGCCACGTCTTTCCTCGGGGGATGCTGGCTACAGTCACCTTGACAGGGAGTGTGGCAGGTGCTGGAGGAGCTAGAGACAGTGCAGGGTGTAAGGTGGGACTCCCTCTCTGCTCCCTGGCTATGGCTGCCCTGTCAAGGGTGAGGTCTGCTCCCAAATTGCTGGAGAGGAAGCACTGAGGGTTGGCCTAGAGCAGGCTCTGTTCCCTTTAAGTGCATGTTTTTCCTTCTCCCTGCACTGGGGCTTTTGCCCCAAAGGAGGGGACTGCTGAGGTAAGTGAGGCTTGTGCACTTACAGAGGTCTGATGTGCTGCCTGTGTAGACTTCTGGGCTCTGCTCAGATGCAGCCCAAGGTTGGGTCTTTTCTCGTTTGGCTGTCCCACATCTAGGGCTATGTTGTGGTGTGCAGTGGGCGGGGTGGGAGTGTTCGCTAGGCTGGGAGTGGGGATCATGGTGTTGGTTGTCCCGGTTGGAGGGGCTGTGATGCCACTGGAGGTCTGGGCTGCCTCTCTGGGCTGTTTGAGTAAGTGCCAACAATGGCCGCTGCCACCCCACCTGGACCAAACCCCAGACCCCTGTGCTGCCTCTGCCTCGCTAGATCGAGTCTTTTCCCAGGACCTGGCTGCCCTAGATCCTGTGCCAAGCTGTGGTGTTGAGTGGGTGAGGCCAGGGTGTTTGCCCAGTTTGAGGCAGCAAGGCAGCAGCCGCCAGAGCAGACTTCTGTCCACTCTGTCTGTTGGTAAGCCAGCACCAGCGCACTCCTCGGGAGTGGAGTCTAGGCATCTCCAGCCTTTCTGTTCCAGCGGTTCTCCCAGCAGCCAAGCGGGCTTGTCTCCTCTGTGTAGGACCCTAGTGCTGGGACACCCAGTCTGTGGCTCAACCCACTCACTCCCCTCGGTGAGGTTCCACCCTTGTGGTCTTTCTTTTCCTTTTAGGCCCCACCCAGGGGCACAGTTCTGACCTGATGCTTTTTATGCCCATCCTATCTTTCTTGCAGCCTTGGTCATATAGGGGTTCTTCTGCCAGTTTCCATTTAGTTTTTCATGAGAATTGTTCAACATGTAGATATATTTTTGATATGTTTGTGGGGGTAAGTGAACTCCATGACCTCTTACTCTGCCATCTTGATCCCCTTCTCTCTAATACAAGTATTTAAGGTACAGATTTCTCTCTAAATATTGCTTTAGCTTAATGCCACATATTTTAATATATAGTGTTTTTATTATCATCTATGTCTAAATATTTTATATAATTCCCACTTTTATTTCATTTTGACCTGTGACTTAATTAGAAATGTATTTTTTTACATTTGCATGTTTGCATGTTTGTTTTTGCTGTGGATTTCCAACTCTGTTTCCCTATAGCCATAAAATTCATTCTACAGTGACACCAGTTAGTATATAAAATATGGTGAGACTTGTTAGGTGGCCTGGTATGTAGTTAAAATTTTTAATGTTTATTTCATTATTTTCTATTTCTATTAATTTTTCTTCTGCTTTTCTTGGTTTGATTTGTTTTTCCGTTTCTGTCTTCTGGAGTAAAAAGATTTCCTCTTTCGAGTTTTGTGTTTGAAGTATTTAAAGCCTTGAAATCATCTTTTAATTATTAAACTGTGGATGCATCTTTAAATGTTGTACTGTTGTGATTCCATTTACACTATCTTTTTAAAAAATACTATGTTCTGTGATTGGAAGGAAGTACACATATTTCCTTTAAAAAAAGTAGTATGTAAATGCAGAAATTAGTAAATGGCACTTTTCTGTAATCAAACTACATAGAAGTTTCCACTCTAAGTTGTGTAGTTTATATCCCCAACATTTGTTTCAATACATATATAAAACCTTAAATAAATGTTAGGATTTTGATTTTTAACAAGGACTGTAATATCATTTTATTCTCTAACTTTAAAATTTTTACTTGAAATGTATCTTAGACTATTTCTGTGTCTGTATTTACAAATATATTCCATTCTCCTTAACTACTGAGTAACAATTCTCTCGTATGGCTATGTCATAAGCTATTTAACCCTTCAGTAGACATTTGAGCTCATTTCAATATTTTTCTATCATGCTAGAGTAAAAATCCATGTTCATAAACCTTTGTACATTTGTTCAAGTATTTATCTAGAATAAATTTTTAGAAGGATAATTACAAGATCAGTTTATGCACATTTAAAATTTTAATAGATACTGATAAATTAGCCCAATGAAAAATTTGTTCCATTATATTAATACCAACAGTATATGAGAGCCTATTTCCCCACATCATCACTAGCATTAGGTATTATTTTTATTTTAACTTTTCTCTTTTTGGTAGGATAAAACATTTATTTTTGCTCTGATGGAATAAAATTGAGCAATTTTGTAAATTGCTTGTGTAACAGGATGCTAAATAGGAAGTATTAACAAAGGCATCCAGACACACTATCTGTCAGGATTCAGAGTTGTGTGACTGACATTTCATTACATGTGTG